CTCAGTCTCCAGATTATTCTCCATAATGCGCATGTCTCCAATCCTCACAGGAAACATGTGCTCATCCAGCGCGTGTACCAGAGCAAAGAACTTATCTAAATACTGGTCCTGCGGAGAGAACAGAAACACATCACAGACACATTTCTCTGAAGCAGTGTTTAAGTAACTATTATTTAGGCAATTCAGCTAGTAATTACCTGTGTGTGGATGGTGGACGCAGCCACAACCTCTACATTAAACACCCCTCTGTGGTTATCCACCCATTTCATTCCAGGAAGAGGAACCTACACACACGGACATAAAGAAATAAACTTCCAGTATAATTCTTGTATAAACCCTCTCCCAAAACCAGATTCCTCAAAAGATTCCTTCATGAAAAGGTGCTGTTCATTTATTCCCCTTCTGTCCATGCAAAATGTAAGTGACTTGCTTGCTTGGATAGTTCACCCAAAACTAAAAATTCTGTCCTGATTTGCTTTTGCTTTACTTTTTTCAAACCTGTTAGACTTTTCTTGTTGAATCCAAGATATTTTAAAGAAAGCAGGAAACTGGTAACCATTGACTTCCATAATAGGAATAAACAAATATTATGAACGTCAGTGGTTACCGTCTTAGATTTCTTCAAAATGTTGTTTTTAGTGTTCAACAGAATTAAGTCAAACAGATTTGGAGCAAGTAATTTTTAATTACGGTAGCTTGACAAAGCCAACATGCTGTTATACTATATAAACTTATTCTTCCATTTTCTCAGACTTCTTCTGAGACTAATTTTTATTTGCATCTCCTCCTAGACCGTTCATACTACAACCACTAAACTAACTCCAAACCTTTAAACTGCTCTGACTCGGGTTGCAATATCTTTTCCAACTGATCCGCCTTACGCTTTTCTGAAAACTGAATCGAAAAATTCTAAAAAGTCCCATTGATTTAGCATTGGACCAAATTTATGACCTCATATAGGGCCAGATGGAATTTGCGGACATTTTTTGCTATTTCTGCGCAGAATTTTGGTAAATATCTGCGGATTTATGCAGAATGATTTTGGGAGTATCATAACTAAAACCTTAATATATAAAATAAAAAGTAATACCTTTTTAACTTCCATTTAATGTTTACAAAGCAAATCCAATCAGACCCTCTTTATGGTAAACAAAGCAAGTCTCTCATATAATATCTCTTCTAAAAGACAGAAAATATTACTGTACAAACTATATTGTAAATAATCATATAAATATTCTCATATTAGTCAATAATATTACTGAAATTAATTTAAAAACTGAATAAATATGAAATTACACTCATTCATTTAACTTCTTGTGTGTATTGTGTATTAGCTTGCTCACTGTGCATGAGCAAATGGGTTGTTGCACTGCAATCAGTTTTTATTTTTTGACTTTTCAGGGCTCAAAATAAGGATTTACCAAAGTTATCTCTGACCACACCAAATAAGTATTTCTTAGCCACTATTTTTTTAATGTGTCAAAACAAGAAAAATACAGCACTTTTTAAATTCAACAAAACTTTTTTTTTTAAAAACATTACATTTGAAAAAGAATTATTGTCATGTATCTAAAATATGCACAGTAATCTGTCCTGGCTAAAAGTCCCAGATCACCAGTTTACTACACATAAATGGGGAGTAATCTCCCATTAAAGCAATGTTATTGTAAACAAATACAATTAAACCATATTAACACAAATAACTGTAAGCAAAAGAAAGCAAGTGAAACAAACAGTGTTTGATAATGAAAGGATGATCAAGCGCACACAGTAATATAGGCCTGTTAATAATCTGTTCAAAGAATAATTAAAAAGAAAGCAGTGACCGCTGCTGCTTTCAAAAGAATGTGTATTTTTTTAAATCTTGGGCTCTTGAAAGCAGCAGGACTGTGGGTGCACGATCATCGCTCTTTGTCCAATGAGTCTATTTCAAAGGGAACCGATCGCACCCGTTGAGCTTCCTCTAGGCATGGTTGCTTCGCGCAAGTAAACGGGAGCATGCGTGCTTTTTAAAGTCACGCGCATCACATCACCTGTGTGCGCGAGTGATCATCCTCTCGTTCGGTATTCACCTCCTTTTTTGCTGTTTTGCTTGCACAAACACAGTTATTTTTGTCAGTCGTGCTGCTTCTTGATTCTAATATCACATTTGCACAAATAATGGGCCATCCTTATTGTTGAACCTTGCTTTTAAGAAAACTACAATTTAAAAATGATTTCCAACCAGCCAAAATGGCTGGTGGAGGTGTCTACCTAACCTGCCACAGCTCAAATTTACCAAATTTGGTGGGTTGGCGGGTGTTTATGTAAAGCCCTGAATACAACACTTGACACTCAATTAATAAAATAAAAAAAGTTTTTCCATAATGAAATATCTCAGTAAAAGAACTGAGCATTTTAGCCATGTGTAATGTATGAGCAGAGTTGTCTTACATCAGGAGAGAGAACAGAGTATGACTGAGGTGGTTTCTCCAGAGACACTGGGAGGCAGAAGTGACCTGTTCTCAAGCGTCCATTTTGCAGCATGGGAATCCACTAAGAGAGAGGAAAAAAATTCATTTTTTAAGGAATATCATGACAATCATAATCCATGTCCAAAACAATTGGAAGACGATGCACTCAATTTTTAACTGACAGCATAGAAGTGCAAATCTTTGTTCTGAAATTTAATTAAGATGGCTTGCCAGAAAAGTCTGACTGATGGAAAGAAGCACAGCTGTAAAAAAAAAAAAAAATAAATAAATTATTCAAATAAATAGAATCTGAAATAACATTTTATGCTTCAAAAATAGTTTTTCCTGTGATCATTCAGACATTTAAGAAGATATTCCAGTCTTCAGTATTCAGCCGATCTATCACAAATAAATCTAATGCTGATTTGAATCATTATGCTATTAATATTAGCTGCAGTTGTAGTAGCATTATTAAAATATATATTATGCTGCTTAATATTTGTCAGAAATTTTTTACAATGACTAATAAATAGAAAATTAAAAACTACAAGCATTTGATAGATTTTTTGCAATGTACATCCCTCAGCATATACAAGTACACCAATCTATCTTTTAAACTCACATTTTGAATAGGAAGCAATGCAATATTATATTTGTGCATATAAATTAGCTTAGTCAGTACTGAAGCCAAATCTGGAGCTTATCTAACAAAATAACTTACGATAACGGTTAGAAACTAGTACACCCAAATGTATATGTTATAGAAAAATATTAAATACAAATTTTAAAAATGAGGAAAAATCAAGAGAAGCAAAACAATTAAAAACATTTGTTGATATTTTGAAGGTTGTAATTGTTTTGCAATGTTTTGCTTGTATTCTTTCAATTTCTAAATATGTTTGGTGACTAAAATATTATTTTTATAGATATATCTGCTTAATAAATCGGTTTGTTTAAATACTGCAAAATAATTTGTCCCTATTCACTATGAAATGCATAAACATATTAATTTTTTTTTAATTGGACGTACTCAATTATGTTGAACACTGTATAAGAGTAGTCACTAATAAAATATTAAGAAATGATGTAGAATTTTGTTTCAAAAACAGTATTGTTTGGTATTGTATTGTGTGTACCGTGTATCCAACAGGCGTCTCTAGTGGAGTGTTCTGCTTTTGTTGACAGCTGACGTGGTAGAAAGTGAAGAGTATGTGATGATGGTCGGTCAGCGAGGCTGGGAGCTTGATTTTAACTTCATCATAAAAATCGGGTGAGCTTATATCAGAGAGAGAGAGAAAAAAAGAAAAAAAAAAGATGAAAACAAATGAAAAAAAATTATTTAAAATAATTCATTCATCGACTATTAAGTAATCAAATATTTTTTTCAAATTCACAACTCAAATGCGTATAAATGAAAGTCAGAGGAATGGCAAATATAGAGTGGCTTCCACTTGAATAAGTTTATAATAAACACTGCAGCAAAGAACTTACCGATTATGATACACTACAGAAGTATAAGCCTCCTTTGAAAACTCAGCACAGCTGGATTTTCCAGAGATCACCTAAGAAAGCAAAAAATGTCATATAATTTCAACAAGCCAAAAAAACACTTCACCATAGAATGTTTGACCATATGAGAATTTGTAAACTGTTTCTAAATTGCATTTGTTCAAACTTACTGGCATAGCATTGCTCGGATCCTCCCCATTCATGAACTGCACTTTGACTGTAATGTTACGGGCAGAACCTTGACGGTTAGCGAAGTTCAGGCTCTGGGGGTTCACATACAAGAGGTTCCTGCAAACACACATAGAAAAAAAGGGGTATATACATAAAATGTTTGCTCGCACTACTCTATTTCAATTCCAAACAAGCATATTTAGAAATTTATCAAATAGGTTTAATTAAAAAGCCTTAAATTCAAAGTGTTAATTATTCTGGAAATGATTCTAAAATTGATTGAATTTAAAAAATATGATAGAACTTATTTATTACAAATGTCTTTTTAGTGCACATCTCTTTTTTAATGTATGTGCCTCATTATTACAAACCACAATAATCTAAAAAAAAATCTAAATAAATAATCGATTCATAAAGAACAAAATCAAGTCCCTCCATACATTTTATTTCTCACTTCAGCAGTAGTTTCATTCAGACTTAATTCAGACGCAACAGTCTTTTCATGCCAGACTTCAAAAGGTTAAATAACCGTGTCCATGAGAAAAAGTATAAGATAAACAACTTGGAATTTAACATGACTTTTAAAAACAGTAAGCAAATAAGTAAGAAAGGAAATAAGTAAATAAGTAAATAAATAAACAGAAAAATTAAAATGTACATCAAAAATTTCACATGTGAAAATTTCTTAAAGCACAAGGCCCGGGACAAAGTTTTGGACAATAACATCCATTTCCATTGATCTCTTCACTGCACAGATTTTTGTTGCACAACCGTTTCCGTTCTGCGGTTACAGTATCTGCAGGAACAGACAGAAATACTGCAGTGACGTGGAACACACTCTCCTGGGAAGCTGCACAGACCGCAAAAGGTCATAGTCTTTTCAAGGAGCACAGCTCTCTCATGCACTCAACATTACCTCCTCTACCAGACTACCAGAGGGAAGTGAATCCTTTGCACCGTGCACTCCACGAACTAGTCAAAATATTTTAATATATGTTGCATTAGAAAGCAAAATAAAAAAAATGTAAAAGAATCATATATAATTCATTTAATTTTATTTCCAGCGCTGGAGGGGACATTGGAGAGGATATTTCTATCCAGCTGAAGCTCCCCAACTGCTGACATACAAGCTCCTACATCCTGAATGGCCTCTGGGTACACAATGGGAGTCTGGTTGTGTTTGCTCTGTCTACATATATGGACTGAGGCCAAACTTTCTGCACCTGTCTGAACAGAACCAGCTAAAGCACAAATGCAGGAGAGCAATGAAAATGCAACGGCACAGTAAACATCCAACAAGTAACCTGGTAGGCAAATAAATATGCAGGTTTGTTTCAGTTTAACAGCATTTTCGTTACCTTAACATCTACTGAACAGCTTCCTTACATTACTATAATCAAAGGCAATGCCTGTTTGTTCTGTATATTTATTATCTTCCACAAAGGAATATTCAATTAATTTTGAAGCATGTGCATGTATGTTTTTCTTAACAAAATATTTAGTGAGAATGGTCCTTAAAATTGAAACTTAACCCAGAAAATAAATATGAGTTATTCATTAAATAGCAAGTAATAACAATGTCCCCTTAAAATAACTAATAAAACTAATAAAAGTATGTTTTTAAATTTGCTCGTCTCTCATACAGAACTAAGAGTTTAATAGTAGAGATCATTCTACAATTCAATCAGGGGAAAACTATTTAATAATTCAGAAACAGTGATAGGTTCAATAATTTACAAGCATTTTCAAAATGTATGCTCATTGACATAATTTTTATTTTTCTACTATACAATAAAATGTGTCCCGTGGCTCCAATTTCACTATTTATTTATTTATTTTTATGCTAAACAAAAGACAATAGTGTATTTTTACCATGACTTATGAGACTTTCTGTGTAGCAATATCGTTTTTATATATACACTGAATTATTGCATGACATATTGTTGACATACTCTTAGGGCTCCATTTTAATGGTTAAGGAGGTGTCTGAATCCACTTTTCCTATTTTAAGGATGTAAAAATATGCTCTGTGCCCCAGCGCATGGTCTAACAGGGTGTGTTTTGAGCATAACGTGCATTAAATGCCAACCAATCAGAGCCTCATCTCACATTCCCTTTAAGAGTCAGTTGGGAATGTTAGTTGCGTCGTGCCATGGTGCATTAGCTATTTACATGGCGGACTTTGTAAGAGGATAAACTGAACGTTTTACTAGCGAGAAAACAGTTAAACAGACCAACTGCACATGGATAAAGAATGAGCCTCCTCCATCCAGCCTCTTTACTTTACTTTTACGCTTTACTTTACTCTTTTACTTTTTGTGAAAAGGAAACCGTGTCGTACGCACTTTACTGAAGACATCTATTAGTCTACATATTTAATTTAGTTAGTTAAGCGCAAAGATTTTTCTAAAAATTTCTAAATTCAGTTCTAATTTAAAGCAAACAAATAAATGAACAATAATAATGAAGTGTGGTGTGAGTGATAAATGTTGTGGACATTGAGTTATATCCAAACACGCATCTTATTCTTATGCCCCATATAGTGATGCATACTGTATGTCTATAAAACCCGACAGGTGGACAAATCTAAACTTATTTTTATTTTAAAATATATATATTAAAATTGCATATAATAAATAACACTGCTAACAATAAAATTATACAAATGCAAATTGTCACAAACTAAAAAAAGCCCCCCGAGATGAGGCATGGAGGCAGTGGTTTTTGCATTTAAGTAGAAAATAATATTTTTTGTAACATTTTAATCTTTTGTATTTTTTCATATGTACAAATGTTAGTGTGTTGCTGTACATTCTGTGTGTATTAAGCAATGTGTAAGCGTTTGGACCTGCAAAGGTGCATAACTAACGCACTCTGGGCTAGACTTTAGTCCATCTTTTAGTTTGTCAATGTTGCGGTCCATCTTAGTTTCTCAAAATAGCAATACGCCAACAATGCGCCTTAACCAGTTAAACTCCGCAGACCTGGTACCGGTTCCGTGACATCATCGAATTTCAGATTTAAAGGGCTGGCATTGCATCAGACCCCCTTAAGTGGTTTCGTTTGAAAGTGTAGAATCTATATTTTATGCACATATGCATCACTTTGGTTTTTATACTACTGTACAAAAGTTATTTATATTTAAATACACAGTTTTTTGGATACCCGAGCTGGGTATTTTACATTGGTTCATTTTTATTTTTTTCATGACACGTGTACAAATTATAGCTCAAATGAAAGCTCTTGCCGGTGCTCATACGGTTCTAGCAATCTTATTACTGAATTATATTCACATATCAAACAGTTGCCAAATTAAACGGGGTGTTTTCATGGCGCAGAAGTGAAAACAATACATTTATGATCACTTAGCAGCCCCAGATAGCAGCTGTCATCTCTTACATTATGCTGTGTGCTTGAGGGCCATTTCTCCTCTGTTTTTGAGATGATGTGCATAAGTAATCCGTTTATATGTCTGACGTGGTCCAAACATAGTGAATTATGTTTGACCAAACAAAAGAGTAGTGAAATATGAAAACAATGATCGATCCCTGTGGCTTGTACAGCACCTCTTATCAGTTGCAATACAATAATTTCCATAAATTATGGAAGAGACATTTTTCTTTTTTCCTATGATTACAGACATTTGCAGGACCCTTAAAATTAATTACAGCAAGCTAGACCACACAGAACCTAAAGGGTACACTTTCAAATGTGAGTTTATAAGAAAAAGAAAAGAAAAATACTAAAAGTGCATCTTTTTTTAGGTGTTTATTACAACACAGACAACATATACAGTTATTTTTAAACACAATAGTGTTTTATTAAAATTCAAAGGGTTTTCTTTAAAATGATACCAAATTTTTGCATTTACACCTCTGCATGTGGATTTGGGAAGCTTTTAAATTTGGGTAGATAAAATCCAGGCGGAAATCCCAAAATAACATTTTAAAGAGTTTAACTTTAATACACCTCATTTTTAGACCAACACACCCATGAGTCCACAAAGTGGGTGCACATGGATTTGCTATTTAAACAACGTGGGGTTGCATTGGTCTGAAAATAGCAACAAATTTCGCTAAACACGCCTTGCGTTTTATTGCGCCAGGTGGATGATAGGGCCCTTAGACTGCATTACACCCCAAAATATTGTGGCAATAAGCAATAAGTATTAATTAATTGTTATTTTTTACTTTGACAAAATTATAGATTTTCATAATATAAAATGGACATTTGAGTAAGCACTTATTTTCTATACATTTCATTAACAATGTTAGGATAATAGTTGCTTTCACTGAATGATAGGGATGTAACAATATTGTAAATAACGTCATACCGCAATAGTAATTTTTTTCAATATTACCGTAGGAGCATGACTCAATAAAACTATATTTCTGAGAAAAGTTTGCTTAGACAAATGAAGCGAACGGAAGGTAGCAGGAACTACAATTCCCATCATCCTTTGCGGTCTGTTGTTACTACAGATCCAGTAATGCGGAAATGGAGTGTGTTGCTAGTAGCGGGGAAGAAAAAGAGCTGGAAATGATCGAACCTAAAGCGGGTTTTAAATCGGATGTGTGGAAGCATTTCGTTTTTTTTCTAAAAACATACGAAAAAGGAGAAAAGGTGACAGACAACGAAAAAAAAAAACAGTATGCAGGCACTGCCAGACAGTGGTTAAATATAAGTCAGGGAATATGACTAAAAACAGTCATGGGGACAGCAGAACACAGCACACTTGTTAGATTGATGCAGACATTGACTTGTACCGCAAAGAGACCTCTATCTCATTCATGGCTTGTCCTCTCAAGTGATGGAAAGACAATGCACAACGTTACCCACTGCAGTCAACCTTGGCTAAATCATATCTCTCTGTCCCAGAAACCTTAGTCCCAAATGAGAGGGTTTTTTTCTGTTGCAAGGGACATTGTAAGAGATCCCAGCTTTTACCAGATTATAGTTATATAATTTTTCTTAAAAAACCCATCTCTATCTAAGTGAGTAAGTGATTAAATGTTGAATGTGATGAGTTTTCAACAATACTAAATTGAAACTTTATTTTTTTTATATGGTTTAAAAGTTTATTGTTATTAAAATTGAAAAATTGAAGTTCCTGTTTCGAAACTTTCAGATAGATGGCTAATTTGTATGTCATTGATATGTTCAGTGCTGAGGTAAATAAACACTTTTGGCACTTTTTTTCCAAGTCTTTTCATTAGTTTTGTTTTTCCTGTAAATTATTCAATAAATACCGTACCGTGCCATTCATACCGAGGCATTATTGTACTGTGAAATTCTGATACCGTTACATCCATTATTTAAAAATTAATCCATATTGTAAAATTATATTTTCACAATAGTTATTTAAAACATTAAATTAGACTCATAACTTCAATTTAAAATTACTTTGTTCATGCACAATAACTTTTGTTGCAACAAACTTTAAAGACAACAAAATTCTTCATATTGTATTTCTATATATCTATGAATCACCCTTTGCTGCTACACAATTACATTTTTGTACAAATAATAATTTAAAAAACAATGATGCGTTTAAAATGGCATTAAAATATTTGCTAAATAACTACTTGACTAACCAGGTAAACATTAAAAATAAAAATCTGCAGCTGAACCCTAAAGTGAGATTAATAGCAAGCTGCAGTAAATAAAAGCCCTGTACATATCAGTGGAAATGTCACAAACTCGCCCAACTTCAGTCATCACTCATCTGTATTACTGCCTGAGCCGAATCATCCAGCAACGATCCTGCTTGTACATGCAGCCCCTGTCAGTGGCATTTAAGAATGATGCTTCGCTGATTCAGGAGAGCGTTAAATCAAACCCTGAACCGTAAATCGTATACTTTTATTATTAATTCCCATCCAGCAGTACATGTGCAGTGGCTGCAGTGAGAATATGATTGATCAGCAGCATGATTCATCAGCATCATTCATCTTTGCTTATCAGATGCGACCAGGGAACAGGTTATGGATGTCCTGTGCGCGTGCGTGCGTGTGTGTGTTTGTGTGTGTGAGACAGAGAGAGACACTGTAAATTGTCTGCCCAGAGTACACTTTCCACAGATTAGGAGGAGGATGCTCAACACAGCTAGCTTAATAATTACCAAATGCTCCCTCCCCTCTCAGTGTAGCGGTATATATTTGAGGAATCTCTGCTGTTTTTGGCGTTCAAGTATGAGATGAGAAGCGAGAAAAGAGGCTTGAAAGAGACCCAGCAGGGAACAGACTGAAGCAGTGAGCAAATCTACTTTTAAACCAACAAAAAGGATGTTGATGTTGATCCTGCTTTTGTGGCTAAGCTTGTCCACAACAAGCGCAGCCCCTAACTCAAAGAAATCACCCACGGAGGCGCCAATACTTATAACCGCACCGCCGACTGAAGCTAGATCCCGCTTCGCCATGCTAGATGACGTGCGACTGCTGGCCAACGGTCTGCTTCAGCTCGGCCAGAGTCTCAGAGAGTTTGTGCACAAGACCAAGTCTCAGATCAACGACATCTTCCAGAAGCTCAACATCTTTGATCGTTCCTTCTACCAGCTCTCGGTGGTCACCAGCGAAATTAAAGAAGAGGAGGAGAAGCTGAAGGAGACCACAATATTTTTGAAGGCCAATAATGAGGAGATCAGAAACCTGTCATTGGAGATCAACTCAAAAATCAACAACATTCTCCAAGAGCGCAGCCAGTTGCACACTAAGGTCGGTGGGCTGGAGGAGAAGCTGAAGGGCTTGTCGCAGAGCATGATGCCTTTGGAGCAACTTCAAGAGATCACTGCTTTGAAGGTAAGTTTGGTAAAGAATTTAAAATCAAACTACAGCTTTTCATGTTTAGTTATGTACTGTAATATGCATTTGAATCAAATCTGATTACAAGAGTAAAACCAATACATACTAATAAAATGGATTGTATATCTGTACAGGTATCTGTTCCAACTGAATCAAGCTGCACATTTACTGCATTACCAACTTGTTTGTTTGCAGGATGTGATTGAAACACAAGAAAGGACCATTACAGATCTGCTTAGATCTGTTAAAGAGCAACATGACCAGCTTAACTACCAGAAGATCAAAATTAAAAGTCTTGAAGATAAGGTAAGCATTGGTGTTTTATGCATATTCATGTTTACATGAAAGTTCAAATTAGAAACTTTGAAAAATTGGAAATTGAAAAAATTATGCATTTTGATCATAAAAATGGCTAACAAAATCTTACTCATTGAGCAATAAATATGCAATAAATATATAAAATGGCATTGTAATAACAAATAGATATTGTAATAATATCTATGATTACTTACTGATTATGTTTGGGATTTAAAATAATTATTGAACATATCTTCTGCCTTTTTTGTGTGTTTATTAATAATAAACATACATTTATTTCAGGTCAACTATGACACTTTTCAAGACACCATTGAAAAACCTATGGATTTAAACCCAGAAACCCCCGACCCTTTTCGGTACTTAACAACGAACTCAACAAATGGAACTAAGGATATAAATGGTAAAACAGGACAAAATAAAAATTAAATCCATTGAAATATTTGCTTAAATAACCTTTAATCTTCAGCTTTTGCTTTGCTGCACAGATTTTCCAGCAGACTGCAGTGAGGTGTTCACAAGAGGCCAGAAAACCAGTGGAATTTACCCAATCAAGCCCAATCAATCTGAGCCTTTCTATGTTTACTGTGAGATAACCCCTGGTAAGAAACCAATAATGTTCAATGTACATTATCTGACTTCCTACTTATAGCAATTACAAAACCTGTGATAGGATATATTACAAAGGGCACACAAAACCCATTCACTAACTATAAAGGGTGTGCTTTTATTCAATTCAATTCATCGTTATTTCTATAGCGCTTTTTACAATGTAAATTGTCATTATCACCATTCTCATCAAAGTTATTTACAGTTTACGTTTTTTCTCTAAGACGGTGCAGCCACTGTCATCCAGAGGAGGGAGGATGGTTCGGTTGATTTTGACCAGTCATGGGAAAAATATGAACATGGATTTGGGAAACTAGAAAGTAAGTATAAGTAGGGGAAAAAAATAAAAAGTTTTCCTGTCCATTTTTGAAAAGGTTTACATATAAATTCCAAAACAATCCCTTTTCACACATATCTGTGAAATCTTTTTTTTAAACAAATTGCATTATGCATGCCTCGCCATTAGTTGGCGATATCAAAAACTAACAAATGTAGATTGACAATGTAATACTCCTCTAAATGACATCACAGTCCCATCAATAGCAGCTAATTAGGTAGCATTTCAGCTAGAGACAACTGTAAAAATACATCACAATCTGTACTCTACACTTAAAGACTAGCCTATTTTTTCCATCATCATTTGAAAATAGAAAAAACATAAAAAACAATGTCATTAAGTGTCATTAAATGTAACTAAGTTGAAATGTCTTTGTGTTACAGAGGAGTTCTGGCTTGGCTTAGCAAAGATCCATTCCATTGCTCAACAAGGCGAATACATTTTACACATTGAACTGGAGGACTGGAAGGAGGAAAAGAGATTCATCGAGTACACCTTCACGTTGGAAGGCCCTGCATCTGACTATGCCCTTCACTTGGCCCCTTTGTCTGGAGATTTATCCGACGCCATGAGCAACCACACAGGCATGAAGTTCTCAACCAAGGACAGAGACAACGATAATCATGACGAGTCCAACTGTGCCCGCAACTACACAGGTATAAAAAAACACTCAAACAAAGATGAAACATTAAAAGGGTTAAATCAGCCCAAAATTAAAAGTCTGTCATCATTAATCATTTTAAAGTGATTACAAACTCATTTGAAACCTCCTAAAAACAATTGAAGATATTTCCAACCAAAATGACAGATTCCTTTCATTAAAAGTCTGTTCACACCAATCTACACTGTGAAAAAAATGCTGGGTTCCACACAATTCCTTCCTTCATGTTGTCTTAACACAAATCAATTAAATTAACAGAACATTTTTTAAATGTAAGTTGATTGAACATAAAACATATAAGTTGTGCCCAAAAAACTTAAGTATTGTTGTTTTAACTCAATTTAAATAAGTAGTTTGAACAAGCAGCAAAAGTCATTGATATGTGTATGAGTGTATGTGTGTATGATGCTTCAAAACATTTGTTAAAAAAAAAGGCAAAATATAAATACACAATTTTTTAATAAAGCTTTCATAGTTCCTAGAGCTATTTGCAGAGGCACTTGAACTATATTGGCTCCTACGTGACAGTAGGGTCTAGAGAAGGAGCTACTTCCAGTTATGCAAGTGTACATTTACTGAGCAAATGCATGCATTAATATCACCAGCACAGTATTTTAAAGTGTTACAATACAAAAACATACAAAAAAAATATTTTTTTTAACAAAACCCACCACTTCAGTTGTTGATTTTATTAAAGCCACACTTGAAGTTGCTGTTTACAGAGAGGGAATTTGGATCTAGGGGCATAGTGGGAGGATAGTTCTTATTACTGAGTTCCTACTTTGTGCAAAAGCTCCTTATATCATTTAAGCATTTTATACCAAATGTTCCGAAGTCAAGAAACAACATCAGTTTTTATGAGGAGTAAATGTATTTGTTTATCAGTGATCAGTGAACAATGTTTACAGTATTAACATTTTGTTTACAGAAGCCAAATGCTTGCTTGATAAGAGAGAACCAATGAGGTTCATTCTTGTGTCAAGCAGCATGCTTATGCTTCCACCAGAACTACTGAGGTTTTGCTCATATGTCCAGCAGGCATGGAAGATGTCTGCTGGTCAATGTTTATCAAAGTTTCAATGAAAGGACATCATCATTTGTGTTTAGAATATGACAAAGTTAATGATGACAAATTTAATTAAGGGCTGAAACACTCAGTATATAACTGAAGTCACCATGAACTCAAATTGTTTTGATCCTTTCAGGTGGTTGGTGGTTTGATGCATGTGGAGACACCAACTTAAATGGAAGATATGCCTGGATGAGATCCAAGGCTCGTCACCAGCGCAGGAAAGGAATCTACTGGAGGCCATCCAAAGGAAGCTCATATACCCTCAAATCCACAAAGATCACCATCAGACCATCAACCCAATTTCAATAATCCCTGACCCTAGACTCTCCATTGGGAAATTCAAAATCAATCAGTGAGGTCACACTGTCAGCAGACACCTGGCCAACAAAACGTTTCCCTTTCTCTAAAGACAGCCGAAACTGGATGATGCAATGGAACTGCAACAGGTCATTGACTCTGGAAGAGGTTAAAAACCAAGTCAAAGGGTTATTGCAACACGCACGCATGCGTTAGTTAGTCAGATTAGAAATTAGTAGCTTGTTGATCAAGAAGTACTAAGACTGAACAGATTCAAATGACAAATCACACCTTTGGAACAGAATCTGGTGCATGTTATTATAGCAATATGTAAATCTGCAGTTTGCAGACCATATGCATATTATTACAGAGCTACACTATATTCAACTATACAGCTTATAAATGTCATTTCACATTGCATGTTAACTTAAAGACAATGTGCAACAGTAGAAAAGCAAAGGATAACACTTTGTAATAAGTTTCATTACATCATAACTGTCATGCTTTAACACACTTTATATTATTTTAAATACAAAAACTAAATATATGCATTTTTCAGTCACACTTTATTTTGATAGTCTGTTTGTTGAATTTAAGTTACATTGCATCTACATGCCAACTAATTCTCATTAGATTATAAGTAGACTGTTGGGGTTAGTGTAAGTTGACATGTACTTGCAATGTTTCTTATAGTCAGTTAAATGTCTGCTGAAGAAGCAGTATCAACAGATATTAAGCAGACAATCTACTAATACTCAAATGGACTATCACAATAAAGTGTTACCAATTTTTCGTTTTCTATTGAAAGTTAATATAATTGAAGGTTATTACAAAGTGTTACCAAAAAATGTGGTGTTATAGTTGGGTCTTCTGCATGTCTCTTTCTGTTACTGAGTCATATTGACTCCTGGTTACGCTTTGTACATACTCAGCTCTACTGTATATATTTAGTTTACAGAATGTTTCTCAGTGGTGTGGGGGTACAACATATTTATAGTGACAATAAGCCAAAAAAATAAAAAATAAATAAATCCTTTAAATAAGCGGATTATTGAACTCGAGTGAGACTTGAAATGTCTTCTAGGACTGGTTATTACTGTAAATTCCATGGTATAATTAAAACAAACTCTCAACACAGAATACAGCATTCACAAAACTATACTCAGGGGCTGGGACTATTAAAATAAACCAGATCATTTAAAAGTTTAGCTCAAGGGAAGGGGGAGAAGAGAACAAATTGTTAACAGAAAATAAATAAATAATAGAGCAGGAGGACGGATAAACGATAAATCAGAGCAAGAATATTGCCGGCAGTAAACCATAACCCAATCTACCCAGACATCAGCACCCAAATCAAGGCTGGCTATGTAGAGAGTCCAGAGGAAGATAACAAAGTTGGCGCAGGGTGAGAGCTGACAAACATGTCCTCTGTATGGCAGGTTATGTCAACGTACACTGAAGATAAGCATCTTTGTCGGGCCAACCGTGACTATATCAGTAAACCTAAAATAGCTTGAAGTATACAGCGAAGCAGACTGCTTAAACACGGATACAACGCTCAAGGTATTTGTCAATGAGAAAAACCAAAGACAACACTTTTTACTACAGAAAAAAGTACATTTGGCAAATTTATTTGATGATAAGAGTGTGTAAAATGCTTCAATGTGTTGCATGTACCAATTTTCAATTTTTTATCACACAAGGAAACATGTTTATTGAGGAATGCAGGAGAACGGCTGCTAAATCAAATCGAAGGGCGAACCGATTAAATAATTTTTACTGTAGTCAACGCACACTTTACTTCATGTGAGCTTTTTGTTTTTCTATGTATTTTTCCAAGTAAAATAAATAATAATAAAAACCTGTAGTTAGTCTTTTTTAATATTTTTTTATAAAACTGCACAATAATGTATTCACTAACATGAACAAACAATGAACAATTTATTATGGTATTCATATCTGTTAATGTTGGTTAATAGAAATAAAGTCGTTCATTAATAGTTCATGTTAACTCGCAGTGCATTAACTAATGTTACCAAGCATAGATTTGGATTATAAAAGTACATTAGTAAATGTTGAACTATGATTATTAAATGTTAAACCTATATTGGTCATTATTAGTTCATGTTAGTAAATACATTAACTAATAAAACCTCAATTGTAAAGTGACCATTTTATTTATATAGTTTTTCTCTTCCCAAATTAACAGGATCCTTACACAATTTCCTTGATTAAACATGCAAGGTGATTAAACAAACTCATTGTTCCCTCCAGACATTACTTTTGGCAAATACTGCCTGAAGTAGCTTAGTTTTAAATGTGAAGAAAAGATTAAATTGATAAATGCCAAAGGTATAATACTAGCCAAGTCAACATATTTTTAAAATCTTATTAAAATTAGGGCTGCACAATATATCGCTTCAGCATCGATATCGCTATGTTCACGTCACAAGATATATAGTCACGTCTCAAGAGCTTGTATTATCTATTTATCATTTGCATGTGTTTTTTTTAATGGCTGTAATTGTATAATGACTTTAAAAAGCATTCAGGTATAAGAAATTGTACCACTTGCGACCTTAACTACAATTCATTTTATCGAATTTTAATTTTTTTTATTATTCAGTTTCTGTAGTTGAATACTGTTAAACTCGAGACGTGACAAAACACTTTACTTCAATTGTATCTTTTTCTTGATTATATTTATAGATTGCATGTGTTGTGAGTATTTTCATGCATAACAAATACAGAAACGCACTGCAAATAGCACAGACCACAACGAAAATGTGTCAGGAACCACAAAAACGTTATAGATTGTTTATTAGATTTTTCTGGACATGTACTCCCACTGCAGAATCATTCCAACTGATTTAACATTCTAAACACTTTACAAATAGAGATATTTGGCTCTTTTTTGATGATCCATGCGTAAAGTCCAAAGCTCGGTGCGCAAAAGCATTAAGAGCATGTCAGAATCCACTTTTACTATTTTAAGGATGGAAAAATCCACTTTGCGTCGTGGTGCATGGTCTAACAGGGTTGAGCTTAATCTCTTTATGAGTTATAGGTGTGTTTTGAGGGAAAAAAAAACAATCAGAGTCTTATTGTCCATTCCCTTTAAGAGTCAGTTGTGTCGTGCCATAGCACATTTGCTATTTATATGGCGGACTTTGTAAGTGGAAAAACTGAATGCTTCACTAGTGAGAAAACAGTTAAACAGAGCATCTACAGCGCGAGAATGAAGAATGCTCCTCATTCTTTACTTTCACTCTCGTGGATAAGGAAACGTGTTGTATGCACAGATATTCATTAACCTATACATAATTAATTCCGTTTGTTAAGCGCAAAGATTTGCTTCAAAACTATTTCTAAATTCAGTTCTAATTTCCAGCAAACGAATAAATGAACAATAATAACGAAGCGTAAGGTGGACAAATCTAAGCTTTTTTAAATAAAACAAATATAAATATGCAAATAATAAATACTACTGCTAATAATAATAATAACATTTTACAAAAGCAATTTGTCATGAATAAACTGAAAAAGCCCCCTGAGATGAAGAAGGCATGGAGGCAGTGGTTTTTATATTTATGAAGGCTAGAAAATAACATGTTTTGTATTATTTTAGTCCTTTAATTCTTTTTCATTTGTGAAGATATTTTGAAGATTGTACAACCTGTGTGTATTAAGCGAGGCACACAACTAACGTGCTCTGAGCTGGACTTTAGTCCTCCTTTTAGCTGGACTATTAAACATTCTATTCTAGTTTCTCAAAATAGCAACGCACCAGCAATGCGCCTTAAGACACTCCCTTTTTAGACCAGAACGCCTATGGGCGCACATATGAGTGCAAACACATTTGCTATTTAAACAGCGTGGCGCAAAAGGTCAAAATGACTCTTGCGTTGAGCTGAAACTAGCAAACTACAATTGCATCACGCCACATTGTGCCGGGTGTATAATAGGGCCCATTAAGTTATCTGTAGACCCACACGAAATCTGCACTGCCAGAAATCTGCAGATTTTCAGCCCATGGTTGAGTCTAGTTATTTAGTTTTTAGTTTTATCTTAGTAATAATACTGACAAATATGAAAACGTTCATATGATTTACTTAAAATACTGTTTGTAAAGTAATCATTTCTATCTTCTAGTAGATATACGGTAGATCAGTGGTGTAGTCAGGGCTATACTCATGTAAACTCCCTATGCCTTCTTTTTATACCCTTGGTAATAAAACTCAGTGTACTTGTTTACTGATTAAACTTCCCTAATTTATGTATATTTGCGTCCCCTTTAACTACATACCAAATTTTATTCATATTACCAAGTTTTTTTTTTTACTTGCATCTTAATTTTCTGCAATTGGTGCATTTTTTTTCAACTTGCGCCATTCCCTGCCCCCTGACGACCACAGCAGCTGTGAGAAAATTTCGGGAGAGTTTTTTGAAGAAGTTATACTTTGAAGAAAGCTGGAAACCTGTAACCATTGACTTCCATAATATTTGTTTTTCCTTTTGTCGAAGTCAAAAGTTATAGGTAATATAAAAAAATATATATTGCTAATGAATCAAAAAAAAAACAATGACTTTTTTGCCTACTTTAAAAATTTGGGTTGGGTGGGTAATAGTCTACCACCTTTTTTTAGGACTACACCACACATTGGTAGACTATTATTTATTAAACATTAAATAAAAGTTTCTAATGTATCATTAATAAATGTATCATAATAAGTTTTTAGTTATGATACACCCAAAATCATTCCACATAAATCTGCAGATTTTTTACAATATTCTGCGCAGAAATGCAAAAAAATGCAAAAAAAAATGTCCGCAGATTCTGTCTGGCCCTAGTCACCTGGTAAAATTGTATTTATATCGCAATATACATCACAAAATAAAAAAATAATGCAATGTTGGATTTTTACGATATTGTGCAGTTAATAAAAATAATTGCATAAAAAGTATGTAATTTGAACATTCCAAAATTCCAAATTGTGTTTTTTTTTGTTTTTGAGTTACTTTACCATTTGAAAATACAGCAGGGCTACCGGAGGACTTTAAATAGGATTGTGGATGACGTGAAAGAGTTGGGAGTCTGATCTATACACTGAAAGGGTCTTTGTACCTGTAAGTGGTGTTGGGCACATAAACGTCTCTGGCAGGGAACTCCAGGATCTCTTTTGTTGGCCGCACTCGACTGTCGGGGTAAGGCTTGACTTGAAGCAGGTCAGGAGTCAGGCAATAGTGCGGGTTCTCGGGGGCTGGAGAGATGTCGATCTTCAGCTGAGCTACAGGCATAGAGTAAACAAGTTATGCAAGCCTTCACATAAAGGGTCAATAGAGTCAAAATCCATTGATTAAAGACGTCATAGTAACTATACCTGTAATGGGCCTCAGTCTACGCAGTACAGAGGACGGACGCCGCATGTCGGCTAGGAACTTGTAGAGATCTTCATCACTTAGTCGATCTCCTTCCTAATAAATGACGGAAAAACAAAACATCTTTAATTATTAAAAACTCAAAAGCATTATTTTAATTGCTTTAGCAATGTAATGACTGCAAACTGAAGGACTGTAAACTTCCTATGAATAAAATCAATACTGGGATGTTTTTTAGAATAACAGTGTGACCTGTTTAAAGAAGTTGGTGACCGTCAGGGTGGCAGGCCTGAAGCTTGTCAAACTGCAGGATTCATCTCCGCTGGTGGTTCTCTCCAGTGAACGACGACCCACAATACTAGAGTTTCTCCGTTCTGACCATGAGCCTTTTCGTTCTGTGTAATAGAGCAGAGTCAACAATTCAAAGACTTTAGTAGTGTGATGACGTTATTATGATATAAAGAGTAAAAAATGTGTATGTGTGTGTATATATATATATATATATATATATATATATATATATATATATATATATATATATATATATATATATTTGGTTTTTTTATTATTATTATTAATATTATTATTTTATTTTAATAATAATCATAATTATTATTATATTAATATGGTTTTATTTGTGTTTTATCTTATGTATTATTTACAGCTGTTGATGACTTTTTATTGCTAAAATATTTTCTGCACTTTGGCCAGCTGTGATAAATGTGCTATATAAATAAACTTTACTTACATACTTTATAACTTACTTAAAATAAATGAATTAACTGAGATAAGACCAGTGTTTAAAAAAACATATATTGTATTTAAATAAATAAAAAAATAGCTATGGAAATATGGGGAGTGGGGACAGATATTTTTTGCAAACCTGCTGCAAGCATATTTGAGTTTAAGATGGTATTCAGAAGCCTATATTTCATTTAAGTTTTTCCTTTACCACCCACTCAATTTTTTGAAAATTAAAGGGAGTGTTCACCCAAAAATGAAAATCTACACACCATTTACTCTCCTTCGAGTGGTTCTAACAAACCTTCATGAGTTTCTTTAATCTATTGAACAATAAAGAAGAAAAATAAAAAGCAGAAAACCTGTAACCATTGACTTTCATACTAGAAAAAACAAATACTATGCAAGCTAATGGTTACAGGTTCCCAGCTTTCTTCAAATATCTTCTTTTGTGTTCAACAGAGGAAAGAAACTCAAACAGATGTGTAAAAATACACATTACATTACATAGATTTGGAACAGATGAAGTGTGAGTAATTAATCGCCAAATTTTCAGTTTTGGGTGAAGTACCCCTTTAACCTCAACTGTGTGCAAGTTCAGAATTAACTTGCACACCATCTGTGCAATATGAAGACTCACCTGAAAGCCCCATGTCCACCTCTGTATCTCTCTCCAGACTGCCTGCGCTGTTCACTATATTCATGAGGTGTATGGCTGTCCAGGCAAAGGGCATCCGGTAACGCCCA